AAAAAAAAAAAAGAAAAAAAGAAAAAAAAGAAAATCAGGCTAGGGCCATGCAGACCACGCTGGTAACGCTCACCCTTCTTACCTTTCCTCTCGAAGCAGTGCTTGCAGATGTTGGTGCAGCTTGTGATAGTGGGCAGCATGATAAAAAGCAGATCTGCAAAAGCATTTTCAGGTTTTATTTTCTTGATATCTAAATGACATCCTGTTGCACAAGCCCTGCCGTTTAGAAAGTGCCTCAGCGCATCAGAGATATTGCTGCTGTGACCCTTTGCCTTGCAGTATGGAGACGTGAGCTGGGTGACTTTAGGTTTGCCTGTACCCCTACCTGGCAGCTCCTGTCCAGGCTAGTCATACTGGCGCTGCTGGGAAGTCTCTCTTCCCCCAAATAAGTCAGTGTGTGTGAGCGAGCTGGTGGCGTAGAGGCGGCTGTTAATGTGACTTACATCTAAGGGTTACAATTAAGGTTACTGACCACTTCCTGTAGTAAGATGCTGGGTTTCATTTCAGGGACATGCCTGCACCCCCTCCATCTGCAGGGAAACTCTGTGTGTTGGTCCTAGGGCACTGCTCCGGGGTGCTTGTGCCACCACTGTCCTTACAATGCAAGGAAGGTTACCTGGCTCATGTTCCCCCTTTCTAGTAGAGAGATGGGCAGAAATGTGGGGAAACGGCAGTCCAGGAGGTCCCTTCCAATCCTGCTTTTTTTGTTTTGTTTTTTTGTTTCTCTGAATATACAAAGGTTTTGAGCCAAATTTGAACATAGGATAAAAACCACAGGCTGGCAGGTTAACAAACCCCTGGGTCATAAAATGAGTCAGCAGAAGAATTGAAGCCGCAGTGCCCTGGGATAGCTGTAGCCCTCAACTGCAATTTGTAAAAACAGCAATGCCCACACAGGGAGCTGCTGTTATGTGGTCCTGCCTTGCAGGCAACAGGGCTGTTGGAGAGGACGTGTGAAATGTCACTCTTAAGTGAATGTTTTGTGTCTTTGTCTGAAACTGTGACTTCATGGGAAGAAGTATTTGGTGATGATGCTGGCATTTGTTACTGCTACTTGTTTCCTTACCCTGTTCAAACCTGCTGTCTCTTGACATGGTGCTAGAAAAACATTTTTTGTGGCATGGGAGAGAGACGTGTCTTGTGGTCAAGGTCCCAGACAGTGACTTAGGGATTTCTCTCATATTTCCCATGTCACTTTGGAATAGTGGGTTTACTTTGTCTGTACCTCAGTTCCTCTGAATCTTCCCATCCTTTAGTTTTGTTTTCGGAGGGTTGCAACTGTGAAAACAGCTGTCTCTTTTTCCTGTATGTGAGCAAGACGTTAACTCTTTATGAAAAATATGGTAACCAAATCCCAGATCAGAGTTGCTGTACTCAGTGTCACCATTCAACAGTAAACAGTCTTATCCTGTTTTTATCAGTCTTAAAACGTGATAGATGTGTCATGCTGCTGGTACAGCAATGTCATACTGTTTACACTCCAATTACACTACGGATTTCATTTGATCGCAAGCACCAGAGGTTAATGATTCATAGCACTTGAAAAATGGCAGTTTGAAATTTCAGACGGGATGATTGCTGACATCCCCAAGGTTTAGTTATTACAACTGTTGAGGTACTCGGTGGCAAGCTGCTGAAACCTGGTAGAGTTTAAGTGGAACATATATAGACAAAGCAAAACTTTGCTCAGAATGGTGCCGGTTGTTCTGCTGTTTGTTCCTAAGCATTTCCATGCATAGACATGGATGAGTGAAAACTTTGCTCTCTGACTCAGACCTTTCATTAGCAGCTAATAATCAATGAGAGCAGGCAGGTTGGACAAAGCAGAGAGGTTGTAACTTAAAAAAAAAAGTGCATACCGTCATCCTGCCCACGTGGGCTATTCCTGTGCATGTTACTGTTCGTAACCATGTATCAGGCCACGCACAGGAACTGGAGATGGGATTTACCCAGATGTGGCGTATTTATTTGGCACTAGTGATGGGTAGATAATTTTAAGAACATGCCTCTTCTTGCAATAAGAGTGAAAGTCTTTCTTTTAAGTTGCTGACATTGAGCTTGAATTTTAAAACTATTTTTTGCAGTTGGAAACTGAATTTGATGATGTTTATACGCTTCCTTCATCTCCACCCTCCTTAGCTTCCTTACTGCCTCACTTAAAGAGGAGAAATGGGATGTGTTTTCCGTGGCTGTGTTTTGGGGACCTTCAGGTCAGCTCTGAGAGCTGTGATGAGTGCGGTATCTGTAACTGCATGAGTGAAGCAGAAAAGTAGAGTGGGCAGTCGGGCACTGAGTGAAAGAAGCAGCCTCCGTGCGAGGCAGAGGTGGCATCCAGGAATAAACCGGCAAAGTCTCTTCATCTTTGTTTCACAGTCAGTGGATGCTGAGAGGCAGCAATGTTGTACCGTGTGAACTGCTGTTGGGAGAAAGGGAAAAAAAAAAAAAACCCAAACCTGCAGCATCTTTAGCAATTGTGCTGGTGCAAAAAGTGTGAAATGGGGAAGGAGAAACCTATCTGTTTTCTTCCTACTTTTGCCCATAAAAGACAAGCTTCATTTTTTCTCAGATAATTTAGAAGGAAACACCATGTCATGTGTATGAATGATGTATGTTCCTAATGATGGGGGGAAACAATAATGCTGTGGTGCAGGTTCCCTGCACAATGGCTACAGTACAAGTTAATACAAGTAATCATAGCCAAATGAGGAGGAGGAAAATAAACAGGAAAAACTGCAGCAACACAGTTTAACAGGCCCATACTGATGCAACCATGTTCCATATGATGAAATAATGCCATTCAAAACCTGTTTTAGATTTACAATTTTCTTTAGTCAAGAAATCTTTGAAATTAATAATTACCATAAGAAATGTGTTATGTTCAGCAAGCATTGGACTTAATTTGTCTGGCTTTTAAATAGTTTGAAGCTTTGTCTATTACAGGAATCCCCTGATCTTTCCAGGATGTTTTATACATACAGTAGCTGCTTCCTCTTACAGAAATAATGTCATTTGGAAGTGAACAGTATATGCTGAAAAAGCTTTTGTCTGCAATCAAATTGGCAGTGACTGAGAAAATCCAGATGATATCCCAAAGGGGAGTCCGTGCAGCTGGGCTGTTCTTTGTTACAGCAGTATTTTGCTCTTTCTATTTAAACACATTTTGTATTCTATCTGCAGCACACACCTGCTGGTATTGTGATCTTCCTGCTATGATATAAATGTGAGGGGGACAATGTAGGACAATGTTGTGACCAAACTAGTGTTGCTTAAAGTCCAGCTGCAAAATGAATGAGTTAATCCCTGCTAAGTCTATAAGAGAAAAGCTGCAAGTGCTGACATCATTTATCTTTAGAAATGTAAAGCCATCCAAAGACAAGATTCCTTTCACCTCTTCTCTCACCATCAGATGATATTTTTTTCCCCCCTAGCTTAGCTGATGACATGATATTTGGATTTCACTGAGGTTTCTCAGTCTCCTTCCAGTCTTGATATCATTTGGCCAGTTGTCAGATAATATCTACTATGTGTGTATAATAACGGTACTCTGGTGTTAGAACATGTTGACGAAAGATGGCATTTAAGTTAGCAGTGTGACAGAGGTGATCATGGACTTTTTCACCTGGGCACAGCATGCTGCCTGGCCCATGACTTACTGAGTGGAGGAAAGATGTATCTAGGGTTTCAAGGCCACTTTTCTCCTTGACATTTTTTCCTTGCATTGATAACTTGTTTCTTCATTAGTATGTTTACAGTGAATATTAAACCAAAAGCTGCTTTATAGGCATAATTAAAAGCCTATATAGTTTCTTGGAGGAAAGACAGATTTATTTTTTTTTTCATTCTGTTCTGTGGTTTAGCCAAAGTGAGAATCACAATGCCCTAAGTATCTGGGAATATTGAAACTCAAAATTAGTCTCAGGAGTCCGATAATCTGACAGACAAGAATTTACTGTACTCAACTAAAGCTGTCTAATTTTGACAGATGTGATGGATTAAAGAGAAAGCATCATTGACCTGGTTCCGCTCTCTTAGGCTTTCCAATTAAACAGGGTGTTGTAGAAAGCAAGACCTTGCAGAATAATACCTGGACCAGCAGGACTGATGTTTTAAATGTCCCTTATACTTTAAAAGATGTTCCTTTAAAGATTTTGCTTGAGCACTAATCCCAGAACACTAATAATGGAGTCTCCTGTAGGGATGTTATCTCTTTCTAACCTCTTAATTAACTGGCTAAATAGACAATTTTTGTGCTTTTGTGTTTAGAAGCTCTTTAATGAGGTTTGAATCCTCTGGCCAAGCCAAGTTAAGAGTTCAGATTTTGACACCAAGGAAGATGCCTGGCTGCAGAAAATGCATGGTGCACTTGCACATATAATGTACAGAGCTGGAGAGAGACATCTTGGATGGATGAAATTTTAACAGAAAACAAAAAAAACACGGTATAACTGCAGATGTTGGGAAGAAGAATTTTGCCAAGAATGTGACCAACCCTATCATCATCAAGTTCTGATGAACTTTTTGAAAAGGTTCTATTGCCTTGAAATTACAGGAGCACCGGTCAATTGTAATCTAAGAGAGAAATATAACAGAGGATTAGATAAAAAATGCAAGGGTCTGTCTGTGGCCTTGAGTTGTTCTGTAGCTAGTCTGTCTCTAATATACTCTGGTTACTGCAACTTCCTTCACTCATCCAAATATTGCAGAGACCCTGTAATTCCTGTGTGACAGTAGGATGTCTAGAAAAGGAGTATCTCTTAAAAAAAGTATTAAAAAATCCTGTAGCCCATGTTTCAAGCAGGTGTGTTTGTTCCTAACATTGCTACTTTGGACCAATAATGGCTCAAAACACTTTCTTTTCCACTATTCCAGAGTAATGGCTGTTTCTGTCTGCTCTTTTTGTAGATTGAACCTCCTAGTCCCTACACCAGCTTGGAGACTCAGGTTAGTACCATCCCCACACAATTCTTTCTTACAAGAGATTCTCTGAAAGAGAGGGCTGATGTCCTGCTGCCCACCATATTTATGATATTTAACTGTGTTGGTGGCCCTGGAGAAGGTGCAGCTGTAACAGCAGTAGCAGTAGTTCCCAATATGACTGACTGGGCAAGAAGAGAACCGGACTCTTTGTAGGAAACAGTAGGTGCAGATGGTGAGGAAGGGACCTGGTGTTCAGTTGGACAACAGCAGAAGTGACTTGTATTTGTTAGAAGAGAGGATGCAGTCTTCAAGATAGTGCAAGCATCCATTCATTTATTTTTGTATACTCAGCTTCCTAGCTTTTGTCATGATCCCCATTGCTAGTGTGTTACTCTAAAATACTGTTGCGCTGCAGATTTCCTCTTCAGACATTACAATGAATGGTAATGAATCCGTGGAGATGCCTAGCAGCAGAAGGTCAAAGTGACAGAAGGGATTTTACAAAGTCACTGGTGCTTTGATTTGTGTTTTCTAACAAGGCAGCATCATTGATTTCTGTTCTTGCCGATCTTTGGGAGACAGCAAAGGCAATGGTACTTGCATACTGAAGATAAGTGTTTATTCAGAACACACATTTCCAATGTCCCTTAGTGACTGCATAAATATTTCTGCCTTTGTCTTCTGCTGGCCTTTCTCTGGGGAAAGCTTTGACTGTTTCGTTATTTGTTTCAACAAGCCTACTACATCTTTTTTATGGACCTCACTGGAGCCAAGCCTTTGTGAGTTGAAACTGGCAAGAAAGGATCACACAAAGATTGTTATACACAGTGGCATTATAAAGTGGTATCAAAATGGAGAGTACATAATAAAATACTACTCTGTGCATGATGTAGAACTAGAAAGATACAGTAATAATGAAGACTTATTTTATTACTGACTTAAAATAGTGTAAGAACATCAGTTTGCATCAGTGAATTTCATCAGAATTTCACACTCGGAGGAGAAGGAAGTGAAAGGGAGCTCATCAGCTCCAGCTGGTACAGCTGCCAGCTGCAGCAGATTACTGGCTGAGGTGATGCCTTCAGCCCCAGCATACCACTTCCTTGTCCTGCCCTGCCAGCCTGCATCTTCCCTGACCTGCGTGTCATTCGCTCTTCCCGCCCATTACCTCCTTGCTAAGGCTGTCAGCAGGCGACTCCAAAAGTTGCTGCGGTTTCAAGGGTCCTTAATATTTTTGGGGTCAGGGAGGGCATAAACACATTGTTTCATGAATAATTAAGGTAGAAATTAAGTGTATGCTTATATGTGTTCATATTTCTTTCAGTGTCACTGAAAGCCACATCCACTTCTGAATCCATTTTCTGTAGAAAGCTGCTTACTTCTGACCTTGAAATAGATGAGGAGAGCCAAACCCAACTACTTATGGGCAATGCACTTACATCCCAAAGTGTTCTAGACTGCTGGGGGCTGCTCAAATGTAGGAGCTGAGACCAGGCAGGTATCCTGGGATGGGGAGGGAAGGGACTGTCTCTCAGAGAGGTGGGTATCTGGGTATCACAGCTGAAGGTCAGGGTGTGACTTTGGCTTCTAGGGATATATTTCTCTTTTGGTGAAGTGGTCAAAAGCATTCGGATTAGCAGTGGAAGCTGCTGGTTTATATCCAGACTCAGAAGTTAGCAGTTTGAGACTGGGTCACAGTCTTAGCTGTGTCTCTCTTTTCTTTGCCATTAAAAAGCACTGTGAGAAAAATAAATGAGCAGCTCTAACGTTTTGCCGACTCAAACAGGATGTGAACTAATATGGTTAGTAAAGAATCCCCAAATTTACAGAAGTCTCCCTGCATGCTTTATTATCTTCCTTTTTCTTTGGGGACAGATGGGAGCAGAGAGTACCACTGCATTCATTTGAGACATGTTGAGTAGAGTAGTGAGCAGCATCTTTGCTTTGGTGGTTTCCTGCACAATCTTGGGATGGATTGACTCATTTGAGAGTTTCTCTGTACTGCCCTCTAGTTTCCTGCCTTGGCTCTGGTTTGGTTGGTATTTTGAATGTTGACATTTCAAACCCATGCTGTGTGTTGAAAGGGGACTGTGTTCCGGAGGCTTTCTCATTAATTTTTCATATCATTTCCCCTCCTTTCCCTAGTCTTCCAATGAGCTGTACAATTGTTGAAAATTTTACGGGTATGGCTGCAAGTGATCTTCTAAGGAGAGAATGGGTACTCTTCCAACCAGCTCAGCTTCACCAGATCTCTTTGAATTCCCGTATAAAGATATATTTTAGGTTGTGTGTAAGTGAACAGAGGGAAAGGATTTACTTGAGAGCTAAGCAAGTGGGTTTGGCTGATATTTTTCCAGGGAAAAGACAGTTTCTGCAAACAAAATAATTATTGCACAATTCCCTCTCTTTTAGAGGCATATCAAAATACTTTGTTCAAATTGGACCTGCCAAATCATGCTACTCATGTTAATCAAATAGCAGTATATTGGGGATCGGTCTGATTTGTTTATACCTACCTGTGCTGGGACAAAAGACAATGCAGTCGTGTAGTTCCTGTACTCCCTGTTCTTTTTTTGTAAGTGGGATTATATAGCTCACAAACAACTATTCTGTAGCTTTTCTCATGTTAAATGGTGTGTAACAAGCATGAATCTTATAATGTGTAAATTGGGTGCAGCAGATTAAATAGTTGTTAATCAGCTGTGTTGGAGGGAGTAGGATGTGGCAAATATATTTGCACTGTGTGGCAAAATTATACTTATCTAGGGGGTGAAACCCAGAAACTTCATCTTTATTGGAAAAAATATTTTGAAAGCAAACCTCCCATTTCCTATCTCTAAATCTCACTGTGTGCTAATGCCAAAAACAGATGTCCTTGAGCATCCTTGAGGTGTTTGATAAGGTCATGTTGTCAGGATTCTTTTGGAGGGTTCGGGCATGTTTGCACTGTCACACAAGAGAAGCTGAGCTTAATTTGAATGAAGAAAACTGAGAGAATGAAAGCTGTTTTCAGCAGCTGAGATGGTTGTATGTTACATCTGAAACAGCTATGACTCTGTTTGTGACTACTTTTCTCACAATTTCAGAAGTTATCTCCATCAATGAGATTGTGGCTGTTTTGCATTTCACACTTCCCAGCCTTCATTTCGCAAAAATACCAGGAGCCAAATGTGATGGCTTCAGCAGCAGTTAGCCCAGAGATAAATTTTGGCCCAGTTTTTCATTCCCTCAGAGCGATGGAGTTTGTAATCATCTTTGTGTTGAGAGATCGTTATCAGTCTCTTTCCAAAGCTGTAGCTTTGTGACTGTTGAAAGTTGTGTGATTGGATGCTAGGGAGCCCTCCAAGGCTTACTGGTACAGGACCACGGAGTATTGTAACTGGTGGAGAGAATGGGGCTCTGTGTAGCAGGTAATGGGACTCAGTAATTGGTGCAGCAATCGCAGTCTTTACCTCTTCCCTGACCTGTGAGAGGTAAACCTTGCCATGTGTTTTCCTTTTGCCATTGTGCTGCAGTGCTTGCCCTGAGAGGCACTGTCTGAGGGGTGCCGGGCTAAGCCTGCAGCAAGCAGATGTGCACCCTCATGTCTGTGTGGCAAGAGGTTGGTTTTACACTGCTTCCAAGTCAGCAGCATCTCTTCTAAGCTTATGGCAATAATAATAAAAAAAAAAAAATTACAATTCTTCTTCCAAGAATATAGAATACCAATTTTTCCCATGTTAGAAGTCAAAATATGAACTGATTTTTGCTGTGCAGTTTCCAGAAGATGCTCTCACTGGGGTATCTTTTTGTGTGAGACTGGCTGGTGGCTTGCAGCCTCCCTTTAAGTGATGGGTTTGGTTCCCAGGTGCTACTGAAGTGTGAAACTTGAAGATTGCTAAAATAACATGTGCACTCAGAATCCAAACACAAGACCTATGTGTAACACGTACGCCACGCCAGGAGGATTTCAGGTGGAAATGTACCTTAGCCAAAGGGGGACGCCAGTTCAGAAAGGATTACGTTGGCAAAAAGCCGGTGTGAAAGATGCTTTGAAGGCCTCTTCCCATGGAACACAAGTGCTCTCCCATGTTGGTGAAGTAAATAGGAATGCTTGAGTACGGGCAGCAGTGTGCTTGTCATAATACAGCAAAAACAGACTGCTTTTAAGAGCTAGCTCATTTTAGAACAAAAATGTCCTACCATGGAGAGCCTTGTGTAAGGAACAAAAATTGTCATATTAAAAGGTATTTATTATACTGTAATTCCTTTATCTGAAATTGATTTCTGGCTTAATTCAATAAAAAGACTCAGAACTGAAGGTTCGTGGTGTGCCACTCTGTTGTGGGTGTTGCACTTCACGGTTAAGTGGCTGCTTTGAACAGCAAAACCAGCAAACCCATACCCTTTTCTGAATTATTTCCATGAACAAACTGTGAGAAGTTTGGCATTGAAGGCCAATGAAGTCCTTTGCAACAGTCTGTTGCAGGAAGAGGGTACACATGAAGTGTCACTCTCGATTCCTTCCTACCAATGCTGTGAAACCTGGATTTTACATGAAACTCCTTTAAAAAAGAAAGAAAATAAGAAAAAAAAAAAAGAGAGTATATAAAGCTTTCTAACTTATGTAGAGAAAAAGCACCTAACCATTAGTTCACAGTAACTTGGGTGCTGTGTAATAATGTAATACCTTTCTCTTTTTCTTTGAAGGACGTTTGATATTTTCAGCATGTTTGCAGCCCATGTGGTACTTGTAAAAGCTGTCCCATGGACAGCACTGAGAATGAAATCTCCTCTGCAAGAGGTACAGCTTGGGCAAACTTCCTAGACCAGCACATGTGGAAGGGAACCTCTGTGATGGACGGGATGGTATTTTCAACTCTTATCTGAACTTTGCATTCAGAGCCTGAGCCTATGGCTCATATTCTCTGGATGTCAGGTGTGAGTTGGGTTTTTTTGCTGGTGTCCCCAGAAGTATTTGTGACCTGTCCAGTGGGTTGTCTGTCCCTTTTAATACTCATTTGAGAAAATATTCTTGTCCTTTG